CGGCCGCTGTCCATTAAAAAACCTCGTCCTCTGGTTGTCTCAGATGCACAGGACACCGGCCGATACTCGGCCGTGCACCGGCCGATGTGTTTTCCGATGTGGTTACGATGGGGCTGCGATGACATGATGAGGGAGCTCGGTGAGAGCCCGGTGAAATTTAACTCCGAAGTTAAAATTTCACCGAGCTACCACCGATGCGGTTTTAAGCAACAAACGCCACGGATGTCCGGCCGGTGTCAGGCCGGTGTTCGGCCGAGTTCGGTGAAAATTGCGTCGCTGGCTCATTGTAACCTCATCGGCCGGGCTATGTGACTAGGCCATAAAAGAGGATCTATCTTATTGTGCTATTCTTTCACTAAAGCTAAGACTGAGGATCTATCTCATTGTGCTATTTGTTCACTAAAGCTAAGAGAGGGTCTATCTCATTGTGCTATTCTTTCACTTAAGCTAAGAGAGGATCTATCTCATTGTGCTATTCTTTCACTAAAACTTAGAGAGGATCTATTTCATTGTGCTATTATTTCACTAAAGCTAAGAGAGGATCCATTTTATTGTGCTATTCTTTCACTAAAGCTAAGAGAGAGTCTGATAGACCAGAATGACTCCATCTAGGATAGCCTGATATAAACCCAGTGATTAGATAATGTTTCTCAAGAAAGCTTCATCAGGTGAAAAAAACTGTCTGAGACAATGCAATTAAGAATCCCAATATAGAACACCATTAATTCCCTCGTGAATAGCCATTCTCAAACAAAGGCAAAGCAAACTTGACACAGTAAGCATATTTCAAGCACATGACAGGCGGAGGTGTTTCCCTATATTGGATGGGATAACCAATAATAGCTTTTATTATTGCAATAAATTGGTACATTAGAGTTTTCCTCAAATTCTGAACTTTTTAGCTTCCTGGTTTCCTAGTGTTCAATGTGATATAGATTTTTATTATAAGGGAGGTAATGCCTCTTTCTAAAAGCTAAAAAAGCAGGTAAAACGCAGGATTTGGGTATTTTCATTTTAGAGCAAATTTTTCTGATGGCTTCCACCTCAAGTAGACTATTACGAGCATACTTACTGAATAAGTGAAATATAATTAGACAGCATGATCCTAACGTAAGAGTAGTAAGTCCCTAAATTAAGAGTAATAAGTCCCTAAATTATACATTATGTATACTAATAAAGTCCCTTAATTATATATTATTTATCCAAGTAGACTAGATTCTAGTATAACTCATATGGCCAATAATTATGCTGCAGACATCGTACAAAGACTTTAGGTATCAGTCAGCTTAACCAGAAGGTATAAATCATTTTATAACTATCCTATTGCAATTAAGAGTGAATTAAATGCATCATGCAAGAGAAAGGAAACCGTGAAAGAAATATGCCTCAGGTCTGACTTAATTAACACATCAAAGAGTTGTTATATTGAGATATATTGAAAGAATATGTTCTTGATGCAGTATCAAAACATGATTTATTGATTATAATGATCAGAGATAACATCTGCGATATGACGATTGTGTTCACTCTACTATACCTTACCCCTATAAATGCATAAGTTTGTCTTATTGTATTGTTTAGTATATTTTTGAAAGTACCTTATTAACATCTAACAGTCATCCAATAAACCATTCATAAGCAGTAGACACATAAAAACAAATAACATAATCATTACTGATAAGCCAAATGGGTTGCTCATGAACACCAAATGCAAGGTATAGTAGAGTGTGTTAAATAAGAAGCAATTAACTACCATGTAAACAGTCGCTCTTATGAAATAAGACATGTAGAAAATAGATTGATCAGTAAAATCATTGGTAAGCAAGAGCAATCGCATATATAAAATACAAAAGTAAAGGCATTGCGAAATGTCACCATTTGTCATTTGTAGCAGACACCAAACTCCAAACACCGAATGTCAACCACCACCCACAAAAAGTTTGAGAATATAGTCACCACTTGTGGTGGTAACATAATAAGTAAGAATATTATCAACCTTAAAGGAATATTCCTTGCCAAACCATCTCTCTCCTCATATGGTAGCTATAACCATATATATGCTTGCCATGTTTAGCAAAACACGCAAAAATGTTTTGATATGGTCAAATTTGATCACTTAGAAATGTGATGCTCAATTCCAGTAAGCTGCCATCTTTTAAGATTTCACACAGGAAGTGATGTCATCGACTCTCAACTTTGCATATAGCATTAGGTGAGGAGCTATTAAGAATTACAAAACCAGCTAAATATTCTTTTTCAACTTTATATATTATTTAATCCTTCTGAAAATCTCTTCTTTTATTCTAAGTTAACAAGCCCTGAAAATATTTTTGCACAGAAAGTAATGATCACTTGTCTAGAAGTGATTTTGTGCTACTTTCCTATGACATCACTTCCTGCAAGAAATCTTAAAAGATGGCAGCTCACTGGAAATAAGCACTAGATTTTTAAATGATCAATATTGACCATATTAAAACATTTTTGCTAAATATGGAAACTATATATATGATTATAGCTACCATATCAAGAGAGAAAGGGTCTGGCAAGGAATATTCCTTTAAAAAATTAATATTTAACTGAATACGAGTTTTATAACAGCTAATGTATAACCATTGGCTTGCAACTAAATAGTTCACTGCATCAGAGGTATATAATTCTTATTTTCACAATTTAGATCATAGGCTATTTGGTTAAACTATACCTGTTTTTCATGATTTTTCTCATTTTCAATTCAAGTGGGTGAAAGTGCAAGCCTAATATGAAAATCTCAAGTGGGTGCAGCACCCACTTGCTTCAGTGCAAAAGAGACCACTGGGTTAAATATGTACTCATAATTAACTGATTCTAACACATTCAATATGGATTACCTCATAATCAACACAGACCACATCCCACTGACAATATTGTAGCACGAAACAGTCACAATCATGACTTCTGAGAAAATTAATTTTATATCGTCTTTCACTGTTATTCTAATTATGGTATCAAATCTCATGTAAAAGCAGGTGTATGGTATTAAATGGCACTTATCTCTATCACACCTTGACAGGAAGGTGGGTAGACTTTGACAATGGTTTTAGGCAAATTCAAAGCAGTCCCCAACCCCTATCATTCTACATAGGCTTTTTTCTCAAGTGCCTGCAACACTCTTATTTTCACAATTCAGACAGAAATTGGTCAGAATATGCCAATTTTTCATGATTTTCCTCATTTTCAAGTGATTACAAATAGATTTTCAGGTGGGTGCAAATGGATTTTCAGGTAGATGCAAATGGATTTTTAAGTGGGTGCAAATAGATTTATAGGTGGGTGCAAGCCTGTTCTTAAAATCTCAGGAACACTTTGAGTTGAATCTTGGATGAGCTCTTAACCCAATAAGATCTGATATTATGTCACATATTATAACGCCCTTATAATCATTTAAAAGAGAATTTCATCTACACGCTTTGAATGAGACATAATGGATTAAAAACACAGTGATCTCCCAAGCATTAAAGCAAGAAGGTGCAGCACCCACCTGAGATTTTAAAAACACTTGCACTCACCTAAGAATTCATTTGCACCCATTTTAAAATGAGAAAAATGAAATCATAGAATCAATACTTGATAAAATGTTTTCTGATTATGAAATACAAATCAAGAATCATTCTACAAACAAAATATCCAAAACTAAAAAATGGCTTGAAGCTAACAAGTGAGCACATCTAGGCATATTGACCATAAAAATATGAGCAATTTGGGACCAACTATCAATTCCAAATTATCAAAGGAACACAATATTACCCTCCGCATAGAGTGAAGACGAAGCTCTCTTTTAAGAAGCAAAGTTAAACGAATGCAAAGGGTAACATAACATTGACCAATCTTGTAAATCAAGCCAGCTATTGTCACTTTACAAAAGCATATATAAGATTAACTATTTGCTCATTTTCAAACACTTTCAACAATTTTCTTTCGGTGGATTTCTGCATGGGAAATATGACATTATATATCTAACCAATATTCCCTTAGTTTCAATGGTTCACCGAAACAGGTCAGGATTCGTAGAAAAGGTTGTGGCATTATGGTTTGTCATGCCTAGCTCAATATATATAATAGGTTTTATAATACCAATATCATGTTATATTACTGTAACACATGAATCATGAAATAATATTGAAGCCCCTATCCTGTTACGAAGATAAGCTTACAATTTGAATCTCTTTAGTTAATGCTTTATCATTCCATGTAATATTTTCTGATTACTGAATGTAATATTGAATTCTGTTTGTGATAGTTAGAAGCTATAGAACATAAAACATTTCATAGTTCGAATTGTTTCATTGAAACTGTTGAGCGATGGATTTGAACAAGAAGGATTTCATGAAGTCACATCACTCGTGAATCATCATATCAATCATGGTTTGAAGGGGGTCAGTTATCACATTTAACTAAATAGTTTACTTGTCAATGGATGTGTTATCTAATAGACATGTAATAGCTTTGTACACAATGATCTCCTTTGTATGTTCATCTCCATTGTCATACATGATATTTCCAGTAAAACCTGTATAATCCAAATGCCACCAGGACCAACTAAGTGTTCAGGTTGATGTGTTAACATTTCAAGGTTTTTTATATGAAAGTATATGGTCAAAAAGTTTTCAAATTGAGAGGCATTCAGTATAGAGAGGTGTTTTACATCACATATAGCTCAGGTCGATATAGTAAAATAAATGCCTTCTAAACTAGCACTAAAACCCCTAGAACTGGCACGGCAAGGTGGTTATAATGATCAATCTCCCCTTCGTATGTTCAACTCCATTGTCATACATGTTATTTCCAGTATAGCCCAAATGTCACCAGGACCAACTAAAAGTTGACAGGTGTTTCAAGGGTTTTTGACAAGACAGTGTGCGGCACATTACAAAGTAAGACCCAAAAAAAGTGTTCAAATTGAGAGGCGTTCAGTATAGAGAGGTGTTTGGACAAGTTTTACTGTATTATGTGATTGTACTGACCTACATGTACGCTGCCAGCTCTCTGCACCTGATGTAGCTGAGGGGGGGGGGGGTGAACACCTGGAAATAATAATGATACCATGTATTAGTATTAGGGCTTAATAATTGGGTAGAATGAACCAATATTATGCAGTCTATTTTGCATGAGGCCCCCCCTCTCCCCCTTCCCTGACTTACAGGAAGGGTTGGGGACTTTGACAAAATAAAACAATATGTCACCATTTTTAGTTATCACCACCTTTAAGTTACAGACACCGAACACCAACCACCTAACACCATCTACAAAAATGTTGGAGACAATAACAATATGTCACCATTTGTAGTTATCACCATCTTTAAGTTATAGACACCGAACACCAACCACCTAACACCATCCACAAAAAAGTACTATAACAATATATCACCATTTGTACTGTAGACATCTTTAATTTCGCGTTGTGTATATTTTTGCTATATTTGCGGGATGCCCTCCATCCGCGAAAAAAACACACGAATTATTAGCTACACATGTATATCTAGGATAGTTGTCCCTGTATACTGGTGACTACTGTTACCATAACCCCCTCACAAAGACCATGTATGTGAACATGTAAAATTAGGTAGTTCAGGGATTAATTTCCCCTTCATAGTATTTATTTGTCTGATTGAATAAGGGTAAATGTAATTAAGTCCCTGGAAAAACCAATTGAGATGTGGACAGTAATCCTTGGCGGTCATACTATTACACGATCACGTAAAGGTTCTCTTTAACACCCCAGTCACATTTGTCACACGGCGGCCGCAAGTCGACCGCAGATCAATTAATTCGGTGAATATCTGCGGCGAGCGTAGAAAAACTATGCTCGTCTTGCGGCCTCCGTATGGCGTATGCAGATTTTTACAGGCCGCAGGGTCACCGTAGAAATTATAACTCGGAGTTATAATATTTGTTCATTTCTGAGGTCCCCGTAGAAATCAACTGGCTCAACAAGATTGAATCAATATTTGACAATGTTTCACGATCACTTTTCATTTGATATTACATCCTAGCACTATGAATAACATTTATAAATTGTCCCGATGTAAATAAAATGAAAAAAGTATTATTTATCAACAGAAATTTAAAATTCACCGTGCGGCTGCCGTGGGAAATGTGACTGCAAAAGTATGAGAGCGCAGAAATTCCCCGGCGAGCGTAGAAATGTTACTGGCCGCAGAAATGATAGACCGCAAGGTCGCTGTAGGAAATGTGACTGGGGTGTTAAACATGGAGCTTAATCTTTCTAATGTCACCTTCTGTAAATTCTCAATTCTGTCAATTGTCCATGCATGAATCTTTGTGACCTTAACCTAGATATGATGTCACTTTGACAATCCTGGTTTTATAGACCCTTTATTACTGAGACAACATTTAAATCTATTGAGGGTTATAGGAAGATAATCTATGACTCTTCTATGACTTTTCTAGGATGATTTAGTTAACATTGGTTAGAGTTACATAACAGATTTAATTGCTTCGTTAGGAAGCTTTTAACAAGAACACAAATGTGTACAAAATGTCCCCACCTATGGGTGATCCTGTCAAATGGTTATCCTAAAAATGAGTAGACAAGACTTTACCGACACAATTTGATGACGGAAAATCCAAAATGGCCACCTTAAAATTTACCTAGAATGCCAAAAAACTAATCAGATCTAGATTTTCATACTAAGAATCATCTCTGAAAATTTGAAATTGATCTACAAAACGGTTCACCTAAAAACGCGTAGACAAGACTTTACGGGCAGGATTTTAAGACGGAAAATCCAAAATGGCTGCCTTGGCATTTATCCAGAATGCCAAAAAACTAATCAGATCTAGATTTTCATACTAAGAATCATCCCTGAAAATTTGAAATTGATCTACAAAACGGTTCACCTAAAAACGCATAGACAAGACTTTACGGGCAGGATTTTAAGATGGAAAATCCAAAATGGCTGCCTTGACATTTATCCAGAATGCCAAAAAACTGATCAGATCTAGATTTTCATATAAAGAATCATCCCTGAAAATTTGAAATTGATCTACCAAACGGTTCACCGGGAAATGCGTAGACAAAACTCTACAGACAAGATTTTAGGACGGAAAATCCAAAATGGCTGCCTTGGCATTTACCCAGAATGCCCAAATACTAATCAGATCTAGATTTTCATACTAAAAATCATCCCTGAAAATTTGAAATTGATCTACAGAACTGTTCACCTGGAAATGCGTAGACAAGACTTTACAGACAATATTTTAGGACGGAAAATCCAAAATGGCTGCCTTGACAATTACCCAGAATGCCAAAAAACTAATCAGTTGTACATTTTCATATTAAGGATCATCCCTGAAAAATTGAAATTGATCTACCAAACAGTTCACCTGAAAACGCGTAGACAAGACTTTACAGACAAGATTTTAGGACGGAAAATCCAAAATGGCTGCCTTGACATTTACCCAGAATGCCAAAAAACTAATCAGATCTAGATTTTTATACTAAGAATCATCCCTGAAAATCAAGAATTGATCCACCAAACGGTTCACCTGAAAACACGTAGACAAGACTCCACAGACAAGATTTGAGGACAGAAAAATCCAAAATGGCTGACAATAAAAAAGTGATCATGAGTTTTTGCTGATTTCTTTTTACAAAATTATCACATATAAATACTGTTAACAACAACATAGGCTTTAACAACAAAGTACATCTGAAATTATTTATAAAGCTACTAAATAGTTAGAATATGAAAACTCAAAAACACCATTCAATATGATACAAAGTATTATCGTGCGCTAACTTTTCTTAAGACATTCAAAACGGCTGACATGACTGAGCTAACAGGTCCAAAACCTAATCAGATCTAGAATGAAGTGAGCTGAACAAGATGTTAAAGTTTTAAAAGCAACTGTGAAGCCGTTTTTCTTAAAGTTTGCAGACAAGGATTTTAGCATTTGACTTCAAAATGGCCGACAGGAAGTAGGTATCGAGTTAATTTTTTTTCATCCACATCTGTATGCACTCATAAGTTATCCCTGAAAATTTGAAGGTGATATCTGTAGCGGTTTTGGAGAAAACTCCCGGACGTACGGACGGACAGACGGACGGACGGACAGACGGACGGACAGACGGACGCGCCTAGGCCGACAATATGGCCCCACACTATGTGGTGGGGACATAATAAAAGGCTTCATAACGAAGATGATATTTTGAGGTATTAAACACTACAAAGGCACAAAATGCTTCATTATAAAGCTTTTTGTCAAAGTGTTTCTGAGAGAAAAATCTAATGCTGCAATGCAACAGATACCATTGACAATCCCACAATACAAGACATTTATTTCTTTGCAAAGAGTCACTGTTTAATTGATAACGAGAAAGTAACATTATCATGCTATTGTTGGCAATGACGTCAAAATTCCACATTTATTATTAACATAGCATATCAAACATACTACTGCAACTCAAAGGGGATGAGTCAATGAACTCTAACATGTATGAATAAGTTACAATTGTCCAAATAACATGAGTAACAATTACAAGTATGAATGAGTTACATGTATAAATAAGTTACATGTGTAAATAAGTTACAATTACAAGTGTTAATTAATAAGTTATATGTATGAATAAGTTACATATGTAAATATGTTATGATTTCAAGTGTGAATAAGTTACATGTATGAATAAGTTACATATGTAAATATGTTATGATTTCAAGTGTGAATAAGTTATATGTGTGAATAAGTTACATATGTAAATATGTTATGATTTCAAGTGTGAATAAGTTACATGTATGAATAAGTTACATATGTAAATATGTTATGATTTCAAGTGTGAATAAGTTATATGTGTGAATAAGTTACATATGTAAATAAGTTATGATTTCAAGTGTGAATAAGTTATATGTATGAATAAGTTACATATGTGAATAAGTTATGATTTCAAGTGTGAATAAGTTATATGTATGAATAAGTTACATATGTAAATAAGTTATGATTTCAAGTGTGAATAAGTTTTATGTATGAATAAGTTACATATGTAAATAAGTTATGATTTCAAGTGTGAATAAGTTATATGTATGAATAAGTTACATATGTAAATAAGTTATGATTTCAAGTGTGAATAAGGTACATGTATGAATAAGTTACATATGTAAATAAGTTATGATTTCAAGTGTGAATAAGTTACATGTATGAATAAGTTACATATGTGATTAAGTTTTAAAAAAGGTTGTGAAAAAATAAAACACGTAAGTAAACAAATGCTGATTAGTCTTATGAATTTTTTATAATTTCCCGATACTGATTACATTTTCAGGAATTTTGAGATCAAATAAAATGGCCATAGTTATTTCACAAAAATTCAATAATAGATTTCATCATTGTTGGCATGCATGAACAACAACATATATGCGATGGTTTTATACAGGCTCTCATTCACTCTACTATACCTTGCATTTGGTGTTCATGAGCAACCCATTTGGCTTATTAGTAATGATTATGTTATTTGTTTTTATTGTCTGTTCCTTATTAATGGTTTATCGGATGACTGTTTGATGTTAATAGGGTACTTTAAAAATATACTAAACAATACATTGTTAATTAGACGAACAGAGTATCTTATGCATTTCTAGGGGTAAGGTATAGTAGAGTGTTATTATATCATGAAGAAGAATGATGTGTATCACAATTAGCTACGGGTATGTATGTTATACATGGTATGTACTGGGTCACAATAACCACTGGATATGTTACGAATTCAAAATTACAAAATATAATAAAAATGTGCCTTTGCCCAGAAAAAACATGAAGCATCAATCATATTTGACAATTAATCAAAAACAAATTGCAGTTTCTCACTTTTATAACTATCAAATATATTGAGATAAAGCTTAAGCAAGCTTTTTCAATTATTTTCAATTCACCATGGAAACAGCATTTAAGCAGGATTAAGATTAATCGTGCATTACTCTTGAAAAATTATATAATAATCATCTAAACTGAAAGGGATCAATGTTAAATTAGGGGTTGTCTCTTAAGTTTTATACTCATCTACATGAAG